GCCATGGCAACAGCACCCCCCCACACACACCCCGCAGCAACGGTCACCGCCGATGGTGGCCCCCGAGGCCCAAACTCCCTCCCCCGTGGCCGTCGCTATGGCAACGGCGGGCGCGAGCCTTGCCGCCGGGCGGCGCCGCCTCGTCGCCGTGAGGACGGTATGGTGGCTCGTCGGGTCCACCCGCGGGCGTTCTGGTGCCGTTTTGCTCCGGCTTGCCCGCCTGCAGCTTCATGCCCCGTTGTCAAAACGGGAATGTTTGTTAGTGCTACACCGCTGAGGAGGTGCCCCTCTGTGATAATCACACATCGCTCCTACAGCTTTGAAATAAATGCGAACTAAGAAACAATCCTAAATAAAATGACCTTCTGAGCTGAGATAGCTCATCCCTACCAGCCCCCTCACGAGCTGCAGGCCCAGCCGTCCTCAGGTCACGCTAAGAATGGGAATGTTTTCCCTGTGCAGAGCATGGTGCTTCCCCACACCTCACTGCGGGCTATGTCCCTTCTCTGGGCTCCTGCTGGCATGGAGGCTGGGGCCACAGCAGCACAGTGGGCACAGGGACGGGACAAGGAGATGTCCTGGCATGCAGCTCGTTATTCCCAACACGGCAGTAGAGCCCTGTTTTGATTTTAAAAGGCCTAACAAAGCTTAGAAAGCTTAGACAGCCTAGAACCACGCCAGAAGGCCAAATGCTTCAGAGGGAAGGGAGGACCCCCCAGTATTTACCTCAGATGTTACCTACCGATGGTGGTCCCTGCCACAGTAGCAAAAACGTCAGTCACTGGCTTCATGCAGGGTCAGGCAGATAGCCTGTATGTGAGGATGACACTTCTGAGTTTCAGTTCTCCACACTTACAGACAGGTGGCATAGACAAGTTCACAGCATCTAAAATTAAGCTTTGATATTGCCCCAGTTCTCTTTGTGCTCTTCTACTACAAGCACACCCTTCATCTTACAAAGCAGTGCCGCCCTTTTCATTCACCAGAGATGCTTTATTCTTCTAATTACAAGTCAGCCTGATTGTAAGACAAGGATCAGACTCAACTGCTGGAAGATCAAGCTTTAATGCCTGATAATGAATATGTAATTATATTCTAAGATGAATCTAAAAATGCGCATATGTTTTTGAACCCGTATGTCATTAATTTTATGTCTTCTGATGTTCCTTTCTGTGATGGAACCACAACACAACACGGTTGTGAAGAAATGCAATGGAAACAATAGCTGAGCAGTGCAGCACTCCAGGCTTCCTACATGCTGGTTGCTCTTTTTTGTGTCGCTAATGCACCAAATACTGCATTTAGGAAACACCAATTTATTCAGGAAAAGCATGCTTACCAGAGGAAGGCTGTATGACACCAACAGAGTACCATTGAACAAGCACTGTCACATCTTTAGTAGGAGACAGCTGACACTGTCACAAGTCACTAGGAATAGTTAGCCCCCTGCCCTCCTTCATAACTAAAGTCTCTCTTTCCTTCCCAGTAATCAGCTACACTTGTGCCAATAAAGTAGAAAATGTAATCATATCTGTGCAGAGCCCTTCCCTGAAAGCACAGCCAAAACAGCCCCTGCTTTACACATGAACGCAGCCACAGCAAATTTTAACGTAACTCTGCAGTGCCCTGGCAGGCTCTCAAGGCCAACGACAGCCCAGAAGCACAGCAGTGGGTGCTGCCTGCTGTACTGCGTCCTCTAGCAGCTCCCACTGTCCCTTATCTTTTGAACGCAAGCCTCCCCCCCTAACAATGACCTCAGCAAACCTGGCACAGGATGCACAGATTCAGTTTTGACACTTACCTGAACAGGATACCAGCCACCATGTCCCAGGGAAGCAGCTCAGCCACGCGTGGTATTTCTCTCGTCCCTATCAAACCACACCTGCTGCTAAGGCAGGAATCCAGTTCGTGGCAGTAGCTTGACGTTCCTTCTCAGCTATCACTGTGGCAGTGTGCGATGGGAGGAGCAAGGGGGATTGCCACAGTTCACGTGGACCTGCTTTGCTCACAGAAGAGAAGCAGCATCAGGATTCTTGTCACAGCACCTTTCATCAGCACGAGATGTGAAACACTTGAATCTGCCTTGAAATGTAATGTTATGCTATCTGAGCTATTAATTAGCCCCCTGCTTTATGCAAGCATAGATTTTAATCCCCTGCACATTCAAGAAGCTAATAAGCTAATGCTGGCATCCCTACTCACCCAGATAAGGCAGAGAATGAAATTCACGTCTGACGTACTGACAGTTGCATCCATCCTGCCTCAGCAATAAGGCTCTCAAAGAAATACTTGCAAGAGTTGCATTTTTTTCCCTAGCGCACACACACTCTCCCCAGTCATCTATTTTTTCCTCTTCATGAGCAATACAGGCGGCTTGTTGGCTACTAGCCACAGTCTGCTAGCCCAGAGAGTACTTCCCCCCCTTCAGCCCAGCCTGCACTAGCAGGTAGCAGTCATTTCTTCCAGAAGTACAACACAGGGACAGCTTCCTAATGTAATCAAGTGTGGATGTACCAGGACTAGAAATCTGTAGTGTTTCTTCCTTAGAACCTCAATTTTGTAATCTGGTTGATGTAAATAGAACAGTCCACCCACACAGTAAACACACCTGCTTTCCCTTGCAGTCAACTTTAATGAGGCTTGTGCTTCCCACAAGCTTGTGCTGACCAGGGTTACCCTGCACCAAGTTTTTCCCTCAGTTGCATCACTCTGTGCTAGAACTATAGAATGGGATTTCTGAACTGCTCAGCAATTAAAGGAACCCCAAAGCAAGATACTCTCACAGCGTTCTGCAAACCTACACAAAACAGAACCAAGATGACAGTTGAGACTTTGCATGGTTTGCCCAGATTTTTTCCCCCTTGTAGCACAGATACTCAAGACAAACTGCAAACATTAATGGCAGCAATGCCATAGATTAGCAAGATATCAGAATACAAAGACACTGACCACACATGATATCTTGAAAAATTTTTATTTAACAAAAATACCTGTTCAATTAGAAACAAGGTGAATGGGTCCTACCAACAATAACAGCATGCTTACAGAATTTCATAGGCATCAGTAATTCCATATACAGCTGCAGTTAGCCACTGGCATTTCATCACCACACCAGCTGCACAACAGAAGAACATCCTTAGCCTTCATACTTTGACAGGCCTGAAGATGTACACAGTGTAGCATGCTGCTCTATTACAATTTCATTACTTTTGTAGGAAAAAAAAAAAATTGTTACTGCTGTAACTCATAGCTATTTGACTTTTTTCTTTAAATAACTGTGTTGCTCCCCATCAAACATTTATTCTTTGTAATAAAAACAGTAAAATTGAGCTGCTTCTTTCAGTCACTTGATACAAGCGCCATGTATCCATGCCTCATCTCATGTCACAGCTGCCATCAGGCCAAGGAGTCCAAAGGACAGGAGATGCTCTTTCTACTCCTTTCTCAAGACAGCCTGTCAGCTAGACTTCTTCACAGCTTCAGATTTTTTTAATACATTAAAGAACAGAATATATACATAGGTGGCTTCAAGTTTCTATTTCAGGATAAGGCAGTTAAATTTATGCATGTCAGTGTCACTACAGCTGAACCCTGAAGACACTTCAGGAGGTGGGCTGCTTGTACTAAGCTCTGGAGAGTGCATCTCCTTGCACAGCCAGCCTGGAAGAGCTCCAGAGACCCCAGAGAGCATATCTCAAATGTGCTAGTCATTCACTTTGTGTGGTTAAGACTGAGGCTCACACAAATGATGAGAATGGCTGTACCTCTTCCAGTCAGGAGAGAGAAACTGAGTTCTCCACAGCACAAGACAGACCAGGCAATAAGATGAAGCTGCCTCTTCAGGCTGATTGGAATAACTCCAGCTGCACAAGGAGTAGGCATGGAAAAGAAGCAGACTGTACAACATGTTCTCCCTTGCCAGTTCTCCCGTATGCTTAAAACCACAACCTGCACAGCAACAGGGACAACTTACAGGACATGCCCACAGTGCTGTGCTGGTCATGGTGCCTGAGTACCCAGGTGCCCAAGTCTAGGACAGCTCTGTGCAACTCCTCACCAGTGCTGAAGCAATTTGGAACAAATAAATTATTTTAAAAATCAGGTATGAGGCAAGACCCAAATTGCCCAGACCAAAGAAAATAAAAAACAATTTCTCCCATAAATATTCTTTTCTTTTTGCTTAAGTGGAAAGATGAGGCAGACCCACCAGAAACAAAGGTTCTTTAAAATGGGAAGGAGTGGCAGAGCAGTAATCAGTATTTTTCAAAACCTCAAGTGTTCATTCTGTTAAATACAGTAACTGCAGTCACAATTCTGAGGTTACACAGAACAGTCTAAAATCTTTCAAGTCACCTTCCTCCTCCGATAATGCACTCATATCCATCATCCCACTGAGATGCCCAGCCGTCAGGGTTATGGATCAGTGACTCCTACAATTGCAAGAATTTGCAACCCTAGAGGACAAAGGCAAGGACATCAAGTGGTTCTGCAGACTAGCACCTAGTCCAATTGAAAATGGATCCCTCTAGGGTTCCCCTTTACATTCCCTTGTGGACAGGCCTTCACAGCAGAAGTAGCATCACTGAGAGCAATTCAGCACTGTCACAAGTTGCCTCAGGACATAGTTAGGCTTTTGGAGAGGTAACACTATCAGTTGTAGTAGAGATCTGACAGCAGAGATAGGAGACAAACAGCAGAAACAGTACAAACAACTGAAGGAAGCATGTGCGTATGCAGAAACTTTAGTGTCAGAGTCCTCAAAACAGAGTATCCAGCATCACAGGGCAGGCACAGTGAGAACCATGCTGCAGAGCACAGGCCTAAGGCCACCGCCTCTCCTGGGCCCAAGTCTCTGCAGAAAGAAGTCTATGAACACACCCTTCATGCAGCAGCATCTTAACAAGAAGAAGAGTAGTAGCTGACCAGGCAATCCTAAAGCTGCCTTTCCTACAGCGGCCTCCAGATGCACAGCCTTAGACTAAAACATCCCAAGGCTTTCATTTTTTTTTGAGATTTGTTCTTCATTGCACATCCCAAACATGCAACAGAAGAACAAAAGGCATTTTAGAAAGAAGATATTTGTTCTTACTTACGTAAGACCTAATACATTTACCTTTTAAAGTGTACTACTAATATAGTATAAATATGGATCAAGTACCATCAAGATGACTGCCTTGGGAAGAAAAGGCAGAGATTAAAAATAGACTTCTGTCTTCATATGTAGCCACAGAGTCTTCATGTAGTGCACTAACAGCTTTCAGGAGACCTGTTTTGCACCTGCTCTTGTCTTCTGTGGGCTCTCATAATACTGTATACACCACTGCCCAAGAACACCAGGGAGATAGCCGCAAAATAAGATGCATAAATCATGAACTGCAGAGAAGAAAAGGAAAAAGTGACTAAACAAAACAGTTACTAAGCATGCAAGAAGGTTAATTCATGAGCTTCCTTAAAGATCAGGAATTAGTAAGCATTTCTTTATCAGCAAACCCTTGCCCCAGAAACTGGTGGCTGAGACTTCATAGCCTGTTTTGCATTCCTCCCTCCCATCAGTAAAGAAAAAAAGTCTGTCATACCTGAGTGAAGATGTCCAATCCAAGCCCACTGGCATCCACGACAATTAATGTGAGTAAAGTCTGAAGTGCTAAGGCAATGAATGTGTTCACCCCAAACACCAGAGCGTACCGCTCCACACTGAGATTCGTAGCAATCTGAAACCTGGAGAGACAGGGATGGACAGAAACATAAAGATTTGGAAGGAGAAGGGAAACGTAAGACTAGGAGGAGCATCTCTGTATAAGATGACTAAGCAATTTCAGGAGCTACACTTTTTCTACAGCTAAATTAGCTTGCACTGGTAGTATACTTGTTTAAATAGGATCAGGACAGACTATGGAGACTCCAGAGACATCTAAAAAGCTACAGATACTTTGGGAAGCCTGTGGGTTTCAGTCTTACTGAAGCAGCTCTGTCTGATGCAGTCTGAACAGGTACAGTGCCCTCTAATCTCAAAAACTGTTGGCAACCTCTAAGCATCAACCTACCTCAGCGTGGGCCATGACCTCCTGCACAATCCTGAACAGGAGTTCAGGATCTCTTTGCAATTACCAGTTTCACCATCTCCCCTCCAAAGTACCTGGGCTGTCACACAGCTCAACAACAGCTGTGTTTACCTCCTCAAAGCAAAGAGCAACACTGAAGAAGTCTCCTCCAGTACATGTTAGGGAAAACTGACTGCCATAATATAGATAAAGCATTGTCCTCTCCTCATGGAGAACGCTTCACCCCAGCCATGTTTACAGAAATAGATCATCCTGGCAAGAAGCACTATGTAATATTTAAGCATTTATAAAAATATATTTTTAAATATTTTAAAAATAAAGCCATTTGTGCTTGGGTACACTTCCAGCAAGATACACACCACGGTGCCTCAGTTTTCAACTTGAATCAGAACACAAACCCTTGCAACAGATTTCCTGAATCAGGGTGAGACACTGCTTACATAGAAAATAAGTCAGCTTTCACAGCAGTTGTAGTCTTGAAAGCAATCTACATTAAAAAGATTATATATATACTTACGTCGCTATTGTGATTAGCAGCATGTAAATAATTCTGAAGACAACATAAGATGCATAGCACACCCAGATGTTGTGAACAGTGTTCATAATATACACAGCAGCAGCAATAAGAAAGGAGAACAGGGCAAGTGCCACTTCACCCCACATAGCCCAGGATGTTTTTATATGACCCACAACAAATACTGCAACAGCTCCTGTGAGGGGAAGGAAAGCATAACTGTTAGTTACTGCACTTGGAATAATTTGAATACAGTACTAGCTGTATGGCCACTACTACCTAAACACGAGTGAAATGGAAGATACTAATGCACACACCTTAGCAAATCTAAGCTCCTACTTATGCTTATGGGGAAAAACAAAATAGGTCAATGATGACTCCTACTGGAATCTCCTCCCTAGCTTCACAAGCACAGCAACCTCGTGACTCAGACCATAGTTGCTCTGATCATAGAAGTGTTGTCAACTAGGCAACAGAAATGTAAACACTGCTTCACAGAAGCACCCTGTTAACAGTGCTGTGGTGCTTCAGGGTCTACATTCACTGGGTTTATACCCACTTTGTCAGGCAGCTGGTAGAACTCTCATTTAGGAGGCAGGAAAACCTACACTTACTGTCATCTTCCCACTGGGCTCATTAAGTGAGAGCACGGGATCAAACCCAGATCTAAAAGATCTAAACATTTCATTACAAACTAATGAGGCCATAAAAAAGAAAAAAATCTCAACACTGATGGTGCACAAACAATCCTTTATAACCAGAACAGGTCTGTAGATCCTGCTGGATTTCAGAAAGGTGGAGCTGGGACAAGACAGATCCCAAGATGGGTGGCATAAAATATGCAATTCTCAAACAGCAGGCAAGATGTATTTCATGCACTGTCACAGCTGTAACTACTAAGAAGCCAAGATATCTATTACAAGGAAATTCCTATTCAAAGTAGGCTTTGTTTTGCAAACAAGTGAAAGAGCAACCAATATTGTAATGTTGCTGCTGTGTCACTACAGTGAACTAGACAAACAGCATACTGATAAAGGGAGGCTTACTGGAAAGCTCTGAAAAACAGGATTGTATTCAGCGTTTGATCACCGTATAGAAGTGCTACATTGTAGCATCTAGGCTTTGTAGTCCTCAACTGGACTCTTCTCTTAGAAATATCTCAAAACACAGAGGCTCTTTTTGACAGGGCATAAGCCTGCAATCCTGTCAGATCTCACAATAATCTTGCAGACTAGAAGAGGTAGTTCTTTTTGCCTTGGAGAAAGAATATATTCGCCCCAACCCAAACTCTTCTTCTCAGTGCCTGTGATACTATCTGACTGACATTTTGCTCTCTGAAAGCCTGGCTCTCCCTATTAGAGAAACACTAAGATACAAAAAGAAGCTAGGTCCTAGAGCCTTCTTTCCATCATCTCATTAATTTTGAAATTTGGGAAGAGGCATTCAGTGTCTCATTCTAGGGATCTAGGAACAACTCAAAGTTGTATTCCCAATAATGCTCAAGGTTATACCAGTTCAGTACCTGATTATAACATATACAACCTGTGTCCAGCAATTAGACACGTATAGCTAATCCAGTGTTTTCATGTCCCAGCCTGATGAAGGTCTGCCAAGACTCTAAGAAACTGCATAGATTTGGCTAAACAGTTGACCTGATTAGAAAGAATAATATTTATGTTGCACAGGACAGGAAGCTGAGAGCCATATAAGTCACTATGCTCTATTCAAATCCTACTCCAGAGAAGCACATGTACAGGCAGGGATAGCAGCAGCATGTTATGTGAAGGTAAACAGACATTCCTCATAACTGATCACAGGATAACTAAGATCCACGACAACAGCAGATGAAATCTGGGATGCAGCAGGACAGAGATCAGAGATTTCCAGTAAAGAGAGAGAAGTGAAGTGCACTCATGTTCTTTTACAAGATCAAGGGCTCCTTGAACAAAGCTGAGTGCTGTTCTGGTCATCCATCTTCAAGAAGAATGCAACTCAAATCAGATATGATGCAAAGTTGGTGCAAAGAGGGGCCAGTGAGATGAGCTCAAATCTACTGAAGAATAGGTACAAAAGCTTGGCAGCACTGGCCCATGGTAAAGAACATCAACAGATAGGCTAAAATGAGAAGCTTATGGCAAAAACATAGCCTTTTTGTGAAGTCAGAAATAAATATACTGCTCATAAATACATTCAAACTGGAAAACAGAAGTGAGAGCATATGCATTACTGCCTAGAAAGTCAGGTTACTAGATGATCATCTCAGATTCCTTTCAGTCCCACTATACATAAGATCACAGAATGGCTTGGGTTGGAAGAGATCATCTTGTAGATCATCTAGTTCCAACCCTCCTGATCTAGGCAGCTGCAAACCACCAAATCAGACACCAAATCAGGTTGCCCAGGGTCATGTTCAGCCTGGCCTTAAACACCTCTAGGAATGGAGCATCCATAGCTTCTCTGAGCAGCTTGTGCCAGTGCCTTACTACCCTCTGAGTAAAAACCTTCCCCCAATACCTAATGTAGATCTTCCCTCTTTTAGAGGAAAACCATCCCCTCTTGTTCCATCACTATCAAACCATGGAAGAAGTTTGTCTCCCTCTTGATTCTAAGTACTCCTCAAGTACGAGAAGGATACAAGGTCTCCCTAGAACCTTCTCTTCTCCAGGGTGAACAAACCCAGCTTTCTTAGCTTGTTTTTGCAAGAGAGATGCTCCAGCCCTCAGGACTTCATGGCCCTGGATGCACTACTCCAGATGGGGCCTCATGAGGGCAGAGCAGAGGGGGACAATCACTTCCCTCATGCTGCTAGCCACACTTCTTTTGGTGCAGCCCATGGATACAGTTGGCTTTTCGGGCTGCAAGCACATATTTGTCCAGTTTTTCACTCACCAAGACCCTCAAATCTTTCTCCTCAGTGCTACTCTGAGTGAGTTGTTCTCTCAGCCTGTATACATATTTGAGATTACTCTGACCCAAGTGCAACACCTTGCACTTGGCCTTATTGAAACTCATTAGGTACACATCCTCCCACTTTTCAAGCTTGTCCAGGTCTCTCTGGATGGCATCCCTCTATTTTGTCATATCAATCAGCTTGACATCACCTGCACACTTTGAGGGTGCACTCAATCCCACTGTCTAGATTACTGAAAGCTTTTTGTTGAGATTACTAATCTTCACTTGTTTCAAGTACTTAGTCTGTGTCAAGCAGAAGAATTTTGGTTCTCTTTTATGAGTAGTTCAAAGCGAGAAGCTAATTCATTTTCTGAAAGCATCACCTGAAATGACTCAACCATTTGCAGAAAAGATATCAGAGGAAAAAACAATTTAGTTTAGCCTGAGTTGAGTGTCAACTACCTTTTCTTCCAACAAGGCAATTGTTGACAGGATTTGATAAGGATAGAATCACAAGGTTGGAAAGGACCTGCAAGATCATCTAGTCCAACCATCCTCCCATCACCACTGCTGCCACAAGCACTAAACCATATCTTGTAGCTCCTCATCCAGACGCCCCTTGAACACTGCCAGGGACAGCGACTCCACCACCTCCCTGGGCAGCCATTCCAGTGCCAGACAACTCTCTGAGAGAAAGTTTTTCCTCATGTCTAACCTAAACCTCCCCTGGTACAACTTGTGGCCATTTCCTCAGGTCCTGTTTGTTGCCTGGGAGTAAAGAGGCCAAACCACTCCTCATCACAACCTCCCTTCAGGAAGTTGTAGAGTGCAATGAGGTCTCCTCTTCTCCAGACTAACCAATCCCAGCTCCCTCAGCCACTCCTCATAAGATTTGTGCTCCAAACCCCTCACCAGTTTCATTGCCCTTCTTTAGAGTCCAGGGCCTCAATGTCTCTCTTGTAGTGACAGGCCCAAAAACTGAACACAGTACTTGAGGTGCAGCCTCACCATTGCTGAGTACAGGGGGATGATTACCTCCTTGTTACCAATTCTTTTCCTTCCTGAGGCCAAGGCAGGATAGCAGAGGAAGCCAAATGAAAATAACTAAAATAAGAGCTGCAGTATCATGCTGTGAAGACATTTAAGCACATGCTATTTAAGAGTCGTTCAAAGAAAACTCTTTAATGGTCAAAAACTCAAGAATTAAGTTGCTGACTGGTTCAAACCCAGTCAACACGTTAGATAAGATTTTAGAGCTATAAAACAGACAGAGCCTCCCACTAAACTCCAATATAGGGCTGAACATGCCAAAGACAGGTTTCAAGCCTTGTTTGTTGGGATACCATGGTTTATTCTGCCCCCAAGAAGGTAACATGCACAGGAGATGGTTAGAACAATGCTCCATCAAAGAAAAGGAATATACTGCAGCAACATCTAAAAAGCCTCTGGAAAGATAAGTCAGCTACATTAAAAAGGTATTGTCCTACTACTGATAATGAAACAGTATTAAATAGCTTATTAGACAGTTTGTGCGTTGTCTGACCCACCTGGCCCTTTCAAGTCAAGACAGTCTTCATCTTAAATAGCATTTCTTTTTAACAGTGCTGAAGTGACTATATGGCAGCTCACTGCACACTGCATGTGTATGGGAAACTTTCATATGTTCCCTACACTGCCAGAGAAAAAGTAGCAAATGTAAAGAACCTTCAGCCTGGCTTTGAGTGGCTAAAACAACCACCCCAACTGCTTTAAGCCTGTAGCTACAGTGACAGCCAAGAAGGAGCAGCCACACACCTGGAGCCTTGTGCCAAGTCTTTCAGAACAACTGACTCAGGATGCTCCTTTAAATACCTATGCACTGGATTACAAGAATTAGAGCTTCACAAAGCAAACTCAGTGCTGAGTACTGCACCGTGCATGCCATGGAAGACTCATCTCAAACACAGAGATTCCCTCTCCTGCAAGCATAGGTGAATATAAGACATTTCCAAAGTGCACTGTGACATTCAGGGACATAAGACATTTCTCACAGCAGAGCAGGAGCTACATTAGCAGCTTACCTAGCAACGTTGAGGCTGCCTCCACACCACCATTGTAGATCTCTGTGCTTTGAGAAGGCAGCACCATCTCCCACAGGCCCTGAGCATAGTTGATGACCTGGAAATAGCCACAAGTAGACAGCGCCCACCAGACTGACCAGCACAGCATGGTCCGAGAGGAATAGCACTGCAGGAAGTCCCGCCAGAGATCCTTGAGGACTTTTAAGGCATCTATTTTCTGCTCCTGCAGAAGTTAGAGAGGGAAGGAGAGATAAATGTTAGTCTGTTTATAAATACTTCAGGCTGCTCCACAAAATTACAGCTTCCAACAGGTCTGGTCACTGAGGAGTAACAGAACCAATTTAAGACACAAAGTTGCACCAAGCAGTGAACAAGGATTCCCCATCACACAGAGGTCCCAGGAGCTGATCCCTGCCCTAACCAGGTAACCAATGTAAGGGCTGACCCCTTACACGGGATGGAAGGTCTCAGTCACAAGCACCCTCCCTCCCCATTTCTGTCTTTCATTACAGAGCAGTAATTGCTGATTACCAGAAGCATTACATGAGCAACTGACAGGTAACAGGGAGAAGAGACTAGGGACAACATCCACTTTGAGGGAACAAGATCAGAAATCAGTCATTCCTCAAAGGCAAAAACATCACTGACAGCTCATTTATTAAATCCTAGCAAGTCTGATTGAATTTGGATCAGCATAGAAAGAGTTCAAGTAACAGTATTTTTAAAAATATTTCCCCTCACAAATAAAAGTCAATTGTCCTTAGTACCAGCATTCAAGGGTTAAGAATTCAAAGAAGCAGTACCATTGCACCACTCTCTATCCCTGTTAATGTCAGTCAGTGCTCTTAGAAGAGAGATATTGTCTGAGGATCTAAAGAGAATGAAAGGTCCTTCCATCAGACACCATCACAAACGACAATTCTTGCACATAGAAGTTCTTTGACAAAGGGAATGAGGCAGGAGTGAACCTTTCTCTTCCAGATCTTTCTAGAAAGAACACAAGAGGGAGAAGGAAGAGGAAAAGACTCACAAAGTGGTTTGAAAAAAAATTTAAGTAATGAGTCTTAGAGATAACATTCCTCACCATCTTGTTCCAAATCAAGAGAGGAAGCAAGCATGCATTCACTTTGTAGCCAGAGCTGCTTGCTCTCACATCAGCCCGAGCAGCAGTTACTTCACATGGGATGTGATTCAGTCAAGACCCTGATCCCAGCTGCATCACCAGCCCCTATGAGCTGAAACTCCCTGCAGAGAAACCCTGTTAACTTCTGCACACACAGCCATGGCACAGCACTGCTTCCCTTCAAACTACAAGTCCCATTTTGAGATGTCTCCACTGAAATCCCCAATAAAGGCTGTGATCTCACTCTGTCCTGAGCTCCCCTTTTACACTTCTTGAAGTACCACCAATTTCTGAGCATCATTATTTAATAGCACATGGTCCCTTCGGTGCTTTTCCAAAGGCAAGATGCTTACTCTGCACAGACGCTGCTTCTGCAAAGTCCATCAGAACAACGTGAGAAGAAGTCAGCATCCACACAAAGTATGCATTTAGGTGCAGGAAAAACAGTAGCTGTGACCGTCACGCACTGCAGACTCTGATTTGCAAGCTTGACACAGACTTGCACCTGATAAGCAAGACAGGCTCCTCCCCCTCCCCTGGCGGCGCTTCTGTACATTAGCGGTAGTGCAAATAATGGTACATTCATCAAACGTGGTTGCCATTACCTTAATTAAGGCTGCAGCCAGGCAGCAGTGCCTCTCAGATTTTGGCACCTGGTCTGACCCAACCCCAGGCTGGTTCTGAATTCCTTCCCCCTCCCCCACCTTCCCCAGCACGAGTTCTGGAGCAGCCCTGTCCCCGGCAGTGGGGGCTGGGAGCCAGACAAATAGAAGGGGAAGAGAGATGATATTAATCCTGTCATTTATTGGCACTGAATTTCAGTCCTGTTTAACAAATACTCAGGCAAGTAGAACATGGATAAATACTTTTGCTTTTAATCTCCTCAGCAAAGCCACTCCTGCCCTAAAAGCAGAAAATCTGCAGAAACACGTGCAAAAACTGAAGTGCCGTGCTGCTGCCCTTCCTTTCCAACATAAGACAGAGCAAGATAAAGATACATACACCTCTCCTTTAAGAGAAGAAAACAAAAGACTCCATCCAGCATTTCATTTTCCCCTGCCAACTCAGCAATAGGGTATGCGCAAGTTGTGCCTAAACCTGCTGCCTGGCTGCTAGGGCATAAAGCCCCGTTGTTGGGGAGCAAACCCCAGCCCTGACACACACAGGAATAACACAACCCATCTCAAAATTAAATAAATATAAGTCCAACTCCCCATTCCTCTCGCTCCAGATCCTGGCTTGCTTGCCAAGATGAATCACATCTCCGCTGCCCAACGCAGCCTACCTCATGCCCTGTTCTAAAAGAAGCATCACTTCTCACAGCTGAGAGCAATGCTGACCCTCCTCAGGACCCCAAGCCTGCCCTGTGCCACCACAGGTTCTCACACATCTCAACAAGCTGCAAACACACGTGTAACAGCCTGCAGCAGCTGGGAGCCCCCGCTGGCTGTGCTGGAGGTCACAGGTCTGCAGCAGCTAGGGCATCGCTGGCATCAACTGTGGTGCACAACTAGGATGCACTAAACTGAACACCAAAGATATTCCCTGCAATTTATCCATATTTCTGCCCGCCCTCCCCTCCCCCCAAATATCCAGCACCAGTCTGTAAATGCTCTCCAGGACTACCACAGCTCCCTTCCTGGAGCGGTTCCCTTCCAGGATCATAAGACAGAAACCAATAGCTTATTACCACAGTTTGCATAATATTCAAAGGAGCAAAAGCGTTCAAGACATGAGGGCAGGAAGATCAGTTTCTTGCCTCTGAGATTCACAGGCATATCTAGAAGTGAACACAGCATTTGGACAAGCAGAGAATTTTCAGCACCCTGAGATACACCTTGTAACATTGGATAGGGATTTGACAGCCAGAGCGCTCTAGCTGAAGCCCTGTAACAGGTGCAAACAGGTGCAGAACGACTTCAGAAAAATCAAGGAGTAGCCTATTGAGCTCTATCAGAGAGAGGAAACCAGGAAAAGATTTGCCTGTGCCATAACTAAGGAAGCAGGATAGGTGAAGGGATGCTTTTTGCTGTTGGTTACTGCACCTATGGACACGTACATACACAAACATACGAGGAGGATGGAGCTCACCTTTTTCTCTGCTGAATGTCCCTCCCTGTTTAAGGGCATTTTGACCTCATCCTCCCATCCAGGCACCCTTGGCACGCCAGGCTGGTCCTGCACGATGGCCCCATTCTTACAGTCCATGACCTTCATCTCCAAGCTGAAGGACCGAGTGGCAGCATGGTGGAAGAAAAGGCTTTTCTTCGGCATCGGCAGGAACCACGCTGTGCCAAAGGCAACGGAGATGGAGGTCAAGGAGATGACATTGAGGCTGAAGAGGGACCACCCTGCCAGGGACACGAGAAGCTGCCCGCACACAGAGCCCACCGTGTAGCCCACCAGCGTGGCACTGCGGCAATAGCTGGTGACCTTGCGGTACAGATCCACATCCACCACGCTGTAGATATAGGAGTAGTAGGCAATGTCTGTGGCGGTGCCCATCCCGTAGAAGAACTCGAGGAGCTGGAAGGCACGCAGCCCTTGGGCGTAGAGCAGCAAGAACCAGGTGACGATGAGGCTCAGGCCCTGCAGCAGCACCACGGGCTTGTAGCGCAGGTAGTCCGTGGCCAGGAAGACGGGGAACAGCAGTGCCAGGTACGAGTACGTCCACACCGGGTAGATCTCGTTGAACACCTGAGGAGGGAGGAGAGGAGGTGAAGAGACGGCGGTCACCCCGCGGCGAATGGAAATAAAAAGCGGGCACCACGGTTCCGAGCACCCCAGTACCTGCGTCTCGGTGAGGTTTTTGCGCGGCCCCAGCAGGTACCGGGTGAGAAACGGCTCCGAGGGCCGCACGCTGCAAAAGAAGCCGTAGGCACACAGCAGCCCGGTGGGCAGAGCCCAGCAGCAGCCGGGGCCACTCTTCGCGGGCCGGGCCCCCCGCAGCCCCGCCATGCCGGTGCAGGAGGCTGAGAGGTCACCTCCCTCCCCAAAGGCACCTCCAACCGCCGGCCCGCCGCGCGGCTCTTAAAGCCCATTCGCTGGTGCTTCGGAGGCGGGACTGCGTGCCGCCTTCTCATTGGACGAAGTCTCCTCCTCCCGGGCAGGCCGACCAATGGGAAGTGGGAGGTGGGAGGGCTGCGGCAGGAGAAGAGCACGTGTGTGGGGGGGGTGGAGGGGGAGTGGGGGCGGCGCGGCCGGCCTCTGGGGTCCCGGAACCGCGGGTCTCGGGCGGGTGGGGGAGGCAGGGAACGGGGGTAGAGTAGCGAACTTGTGGGGGGAGGTGGCCGGGGCCGGGAGCAGGCAAGGGAAAGGAGGGGAAATAAGGGAGAGAGGAGAGGATGAAGAAAACTGTGCAAAAACTGTTCATCTGCCCGTTGAAAAATTAGCAAAAAAGGCCAGTTTAGGAAAAGATGTATACAAAACGGCAGGAACCGAGAGTCCACTAGAGAACACGATTCAGTCCGAGCATCGCATCCCATGTCTGAACGGTGTAAGTGAGAGGTCCTCTGGTTGTGCAGCTTACAATACGCATTCAGAACTGATTACTGAAAGGAAGACTGATGCCCCTCTTGTGTATGGACAGAAGGAAAACTCACTCAGTGTGTTACCATTGCAGTCCTCCCATTGCCACTCTACCCCAACTGCTCCCCACCTCCCCCTTGTCCAACGGCAGGCACGAGCCTTCCCTGGAAACCAGCTCAACAAACATGGCCTCTACCTGCCGCTCTGCACTGTGCTGCCCTGCTCTGCTGTGCTGTGCTGGCTCTTTCTTTCCTACAGCTACTGATCTCCCCCACTTTTTTCAATTTAGGAAGATAAAGAGCTGGAAGCACTCCTGTAGTCACTAATAGCAATACCTTGTTGTCCAGCCGGAGGAAATACTAGATAAGAGAAGAAAATGAAACTATTACATTCAAAGCAGTTATCTAAAGCATCACCCAGGACTGCTGCTCTGAAAGCTTTGCAGGTCCCCCTCTAAACTGTTTGCTGCTCTGCTACCTGATCTATCCCACACTGATTTACTATCCACCTATTTCACCTCACCTACATTCCCTTGATCTCCACCACACTGCTACCACTGCTGTGGCTTCCTACTCTATCTACCTAAGGTTTGTTCCCCAAAACTAGCTGAGGCCACAGAAAGTATGCAAAAGGGCCTCCCACCTTTGCCATTGCATATCTTCCTCCTAGCTGAGGCTCAGTCCTCCAAGATGCAAAATAAAAGCCCTCAAAAGCATCTGGTTATGCACAAGTAGGCAGGCAAGAACATGTTCTTCTTGGCCTCAGAATAGATTCCTTGAATTGCAGGTTTTTATTACCATCTCCATCATTATAGCTGAATAGGTATAAATACGAAGTATTCTAAGTCAATAAGAATACCTAGCTGTGTAAAACTCAGCTAAACATTTTGGGGGTCCCATGGTGCATCCTGCTTAGGGGCAGCACTTCCCACAGCTTCCAGGCTGCTCCCAGGATCTGATGATTGGCCTTTGTCCTTCCTAAAATGGCAGCCCCTAGAGCAGGCATGTCCCACCTGTTACTTACATACCTTAACTATATATCTATATCTGCTCTGAAATTAATGCCTCCTTTTTTATCATGTTGCCCACAGTGTCAAAGGCAGATGTAGATGGTATAGCAGTAGAGGTTGAACCTTCCTGCAAATATTCCATTACACTTGGTTGCCGTGTGACAGATGGCAGCAGAGGGATGGACAGTCTGGCAGAATGGCTTCTGACATGGTAGTGTGGATGAAGCAAAGGTGTGTCACTGAATTCCTCAGTGAGGAAAAAAATGGCACCCATTGGTGTTCACTGACACTTGCTGAAAGATTTCTGAAGACCAAACAGTGGACGTGAGCACAGTGAGGTGGTGGGTGGTGTGTTTCAGCAGTGGCAACAGTGACAGTGGGTTATCTCCACTGGTACATATTTTCACAAGCCTGACACACAGGCTCTTATTCATTGCTGGCAAAAACGCACAGCTGGTGACTATGGTGACTATGTGGAAAAATCGTGTTTTGTAGTTGAGAATTTGCTCAATCAGTCAAGCAGTGTTATTGTGCTCCCTGTGATCTGTTGTCATTTCCATGGAAATAAATAGGAGGCATTACTTTTGGAGCAACTATGTATGTGTGGCCCAAGACAATTCCTCTTCACTCATTCAGCCCAGGCAAGCCTAAAGGTTGGACATCCATGCCTTAGAGCTACACCACTGGATCTGAGATGTGGTTTCCAGGGTGCAGGCCACAGCAGAAGTTATGTCAGCTCAGTGTGTGTACCTAGGTGATACAGACAGCAGTCAGTGAACCTAGATTGGGCCTCCGAGTGCTGTGTAAGAAAAAGAACCTGCAAAGTATTGTTTGAAGCGCTCCAGGCTTTCTCAGGATTTCTTTTGCTCTCCAAAGAACTCACTTTGTTTTGTTTTCACGGAACGCTTTCTTCCTTTGGAAACAAGCCAAAAGTTTGTTGTCTGGATTTTTACTTCTTTCCTTTCCCAATCTGCATTTTCTCTCTCCATCCCCTCTATTCTAGTAAGAACAGTACGTTAAGGTTAAAGGGGTTTGATGGTAGAGAAAAAAAGCCCAAACCCTCATTTTTTTTCCCCAAGATGGAAAACATGAGCTGTGAAAAAGCAGGATTTCATTTGCATTTGTCTCTTAATCGTGCCTGCTCCCTACCTTTCTCAACAAGCGCATTCATTTTTCATTAGAAAAAAAGAAATAGTAATAGAAACTTTAAAATAAAGAAGTGCAGAACAGTAATTCCTCTCTCTCAATTGTAGTTGAGAGATTGAGAGTTCCAAAGCCAAAAAATAACCTTACAATTTACATTAGTGCTAGACAGCAGCGTGGCTCTCTCCAAAGCTGTATGTTTGTTCACTTCTAGCTTCTCTATCACATGATGTGAAGAGTATTTGGAAAATAAATGCCTCCCACATGGGATGAAACTATTTTTTTTTCTGGGAAAAACATTTTCTTACTGGAAAGACTTGACCAGTTGGAGTGATCATAGAATCATAGAATCACCAAAGCTGGAAAGGGCCTCCAAGATCATCTGGTCCAACCATCCATCTACCACCAATGTTGCCCACTAAACCCTGTTTGTTAGTACTACATCTACACACTTCTTGAACACCTGCAGGGATGGTGATTCTGATGAGTCACATTGTGAGGATTCCACATACATAATATTAATTGGAAAAAAGTGTAACATCTCTCAAGACCATAACAGTCAGTGCAAATCTGCCGGAGGCACTTGACATGTATGATCCAAAGTGACAGAGTGAGTTATGGCATGGATGTACTGTGCAATAGCTGCCCTTTACAGACACAGCTTTGGCTTGCACAGCTCCTGAACATACCTCATCCAGCAACATTTCATTGGAAGGCATAGCTCATGTAGCATTGTTGGACGAAACAGGAGCCCAAGACAAGGATTTAGCCAGACAGGTCTGTATCATCCCTGTGGTATGATCCTGAAATTAAAATGTCAATAGGAAACCAAAGCCATAGGCAATCTATTAAAAACTTGGTCTGATCTTGGATGCAGTGATGCAGTTTGCATTAAAATAAATGTCACTTGGGTAGCAATAAGCAAGTCCTTATCTTCAACTCGTCTATGAAGAAGTGGAAGTGCAATGGAGTAAATATGAATCTCTGAGAATCCCACTGACCCTGATGGCTGCAGATCAGTGCCCACTAGCTCAAAAAGCCTTTCCTGCTGGGTTTCCCTGGACATAAGCCCACTTGTTCCTCATGCAGCCCACTCCTTTGGTGGCATCTTCTTTGCTGTGCTACCTGATCACTCAGAACTGCTGTCAGTGTATGAGTTTCCTCAAATAACCTCCAGTTCTTTGGCTGGCCAAGGGACATGCTAGCTCTGTTTCCTACTCCTCTGTTGCACAAGCAAAGCTTGCAATCCACCTGTACTTGCCCAGAACATTTCAGATTTTCAGAGCAATCTCATAAATTGCTCTTGGCACTTTGGAAGAAAAGAATCACATCAATCCCTTTAGAAAGGCACTACTGCTGTTTCCCTTTGTGCTAACAATTAAGAATCTCTTTTAGTTTTAAGTGAGGCTGGAACTATCACCCCTAGAAGATGCTTTGTTGGGCATGGGTTCCAAGTAGCTCATCAGAATGGACAGTTCAGTTCTAAGACAATGACATTTTCAAGTCACGCCTTACCTGCGCTATAAACAGGGAGAAGTTTCACACAAATGTGCATGAGAGGGGAGTACTGGTAACCAGTTCTGGCCCACAGTTTGCTGTGTAGGATTTTGTAAAATGTATGTGTGAGGGAAGTTCTCTTAAAGTCTTATCAAGCTGTTTGGAGAAAAGCCTCTGGAGAAAAGCCTCTGTATGTTAAAAGCTTCCTGCCCTCTTGAAAAGCCAGTATGTGAGAGTACTAAGATGGTCCAGATAACTCAGGAACTCATTAAAGAAAGGGAGTAAAATAGATTTTTTCTTTGCTGAGCATGGACAGAACAAAAGCACATAGGTATGAGAAAAGGCAGCCACTAATTTCTGTGGTTTCATGATTATATCTGTTTAATTAATCTGCGGAAATAGATGTTACTAACTAGTATATGTGTTGGAATGCAATAGAGGTGGAAAAAGGCCAAATTATTTCTGAAATGAAGCATGCTTAGTTTACCACAAGGCCTCTTCCACTTCCTCCTCAAGATCTCTTGATAATGTGAGGGCTGTGAACAGGAGATTACAGAAATTTGACAGCCATGAGGGGTTAATTCAAAAGCACTCACATCAATATCTTTACTCAGATGCACTAATTTCTTTTACCTCCTGTGTGTCTGGGGTGTGTTAGTTCCAGACACTGAAGGTCTCTCCCCTATTCAAGAGAATAGCCTTGTTCTATAAGCACAGAGCATGTGTTTCCCCAGCATCTAAAAAAAAATGAAAGAAAAAAATTTCACTGGAGGGACAAATACAGCATTATCCCATCAAGTAGTAAATCAGTGATTTTAAAAAAGCA